CTTTGTAAGAGCTGAAAGTGTTCACACTATTTTCTGGATGGTCAAGTCCACAATCAGAACAGCGGCTCAGAATGAAGAAGGTTGCAGAAAGCAGCCACAATTAGATAGATTTAAAGCAACAAACCGAAAGAGCCAACAAATAAAAGCTTATGTCATGTCCTGGGAAGCCAGTTCAAAACAAGCAGATAAACTGAACTGGTTGGAGACAGTGGGAAGCTAAAGCACATCAAAAGGATATTTCCTGTGGAAAACCCCAGCTTCAAATGGCTTTCAAGAAGGAATGAAAACATGAATGGGGACAGCAGCTGCCCGTTGGCACATGAATTTGTAGCAACAGGTGCATCCAACGGTCAAGGTCCAGGGCCTTCATCGTGTGAGAATCTCCCCCTCCTTCCACTGTGCTTCACTGCAGGCTCCTCCCCTCCCCACAGCAGCACCCCAGGGAGCTCTTTTCTTAACTGATGTTTAACAGGCACTCTGAAGCTTTGGCCTCACTACTGAATCAAAGCAGCAACTGAAGGGCGGGGGACCCAACCAAAACTCTCCCCTCTCCTAATATTAAAACAACATCCAGCTGCTGCACTCCCTCTGCCAACATGGAATGGAGAAACTTGAAGAACAAACACTGGGAATGAGCATGAACGCTAGCCTGGTCACGGGGAAAGCAGCTTCACTTCTGGGAAGGAAAAATGGAGCCTTCCGGCATACCACACCCAGAGAGCAAAGATGTCTAGTGCTACACCCCATATCCCTTACAGCTTCCCATACAGTCTCTCCTTGCTGGTTTCAGCACTCTCCCCACCTTTGGTAAAACTGATTGAATTGGTTGTCACTTTACCTCCTTCACATGCATTCCCCTGCATAATGGCCTCTGCAGAACAGATCTCCATAGGCAGACAAAATGGCCAATCTGCCTCCTACCAATCCCTGCAGCCTAACCAGATCTACCAACTAAGCAGGGCTTCATCCCCAGACAACTCTACGGTTTCCTGCAGTCGCATAGTCATGCCAACATTTGTTAAAAATACCCTAGCAAATTTTGGGAATAAACCCTCACACTAGACACTAAAATATTCTGCAAGGGAAAGAACACAGCAAGCCAGTCTAAGGCACGTTACAGAAGCTCCCGACTGTGAAATGGAAATGTTGTGGGGGAAGGGTTTGGGAGAAAAAGCAGGGTATGGTGTACTGAGAAGGGAATGTGTCTTAATTATAAAAGTCATCCCAGGCTCCAGACTCTGGGAGTGGCAGAGAGCAGCTGAAGGAAATGCTCCGCTAATATTACTGAATGGGAATTACAGTCATCACAGGGAAGCTAGGCAGATCTGTTTCTGAATATAATTCATGAAATTTTAAATAAGAGATCACATCCATTCTTGAGTGTCAGGAAGGCCAATGGTAAGGTGCTCCTACTTTAAAGTCCGATAGGCCCAAGTTGAATTGCTGATTCTGTCACTTTAAAACATTACAAGCACCTGCTATTGGAGCCAATCTTGAGCACATGCATCCTTGCAGAAAGGCTCAAAAGAGGGAGACAAAACCCTGGAGGAAACAGTTTAGCTGTCCAATTGCTCGATTCTCTCCCATTTTGGAGGAAGATGAACAGCTCCTCCCAGTTTCCTTGTCCTCTGGGTCCTCACCTCAGGCAGAAGTGAGACTCACTTTTTGCCTTGAGAAGGAAGTTGATCTTTGGGCCAATCCCTGGGGTATCTAGAGACCTGGGCTCTCTGCCTTTTCAGTCTCACCTTGTTGGAGTTTACATTGAAAGAGGGGATACTCTGAATAGAGGCCCTGGTGGAAGACTAGGGCCCTTTGTAGATTCAGGAATTAACACCTCCCACCCCTATGTACATCAATAGCAAACTGACTAAGTGTGTCATTTTGGTGGGGGAGTGGAAATTGAACTGGGACACTTTGCTATGAAGCAGATCATATTGGCTACTGCTGGTAGCCGGATATCTGACTAAATGGACCACTGGGTCCAGCCTGGCATGGCAGGTTCTGCCTTTTTAATATTCCCCCAACATGCAGTAGAAAGGGAAAGGATCCAAGTACACTGAAGCTATTGTTACACGCATTTACAACCAATCTATCTCTGCAGCCTCCGGGCACACAAGGCCAGATTTTCAAGAGAGCTCAGCACACAACGTGAATGTCATGTCGGTTGCGGAGCTCTATGAAAAGGCGGGCGCACTGAGGGCACATGTATCGCGTATATCCAGGTGCATGGATCCATTTATGAACTCTAGTACAAGTCTGAGCAGCTGTTATCACAATCCAGGCATCCCCCATTGTCCCAGTGCACACCAGTTATCCAGATGGCTGTAGTGCGATTGTATGACCCATTGTTTTGACAAGGAAGAGTCGTATGCTGGTGTTATGGAAGTTTATCAACACAACCAGAGACTGTTTTTAGTATTCACTGAATCAATACAGATCAACAGCCTGCCATTATATTGGGGTTGTCACATGCAGTCTACTGAGGGCCTTGTGAGAGAAGTGGATGGCGGTTCTAGGAGCAATTCTCCACCTACAGGGGGACAGCGTTCTTATTTCCAAGTCTCTTCTCGTTCTCAAAACAGGAAGGGATTATCTCCATACCTCTAAACCCCAGAGCTCTACGAGTATCCCATACTGGTGACAGCCACCTCACCCTTCCCTTTCTCCAGCATTTGGAAGGGGACTGCCCCTTAAAATGTCTCCACCTGGTGGAGAAGTGTACATGCAGATATTGAAGACATCTGGTCTGAATGGATAGTGGTGGGGAAGAAGCTATGGGGCTCATCTTCCTTTCACACCAGTGGGAGGCAGAAATCAGGTAAGCCTCCATTAAAATCAACAGAGTTAAACTGGAGCAGATCTGTGGAGAATCAGACTCATACGCAGTTTTGTCTTGAACAGGAATGGAGGATAATTTTTCCAGATGTCGTCCTCCCCTAGGTCCCCATCCATGACAGCATTTCTTTCCTGTGTGTCTACCCCTGAGAATGCAGGAATTCTTGGTCCACACCCAGTACCCTGCAATCGTCACCTCCCCCGCACACAGCATCCTCAGCATTCCCCTTGCAGAGAGACAGCTGGTTTCAGATACACAGTGCAGAGGTCAAACCTCATAAAAAAAGGGACCTTGGAAAGCAGACGTCCTGCTCAAGCCAATGCTTCAAGGCTTGAGCTGCTGCTCGAGTGCAGACGAGCACAGCCAAATAAGGGTCTTCCATTTCCAACAAGTCAGAATGCTGACCAATTATTGAAATCACATTAAACCTCACACGCCTGGAAAACATGAGTCATGCTGGTCTCCACAATTTATTTTCCATTGCCGACTGTTCCTTCAGTTGCTCCATATCCCTGCAGCAGAGAACCAACAATCCCAAAAAACAGCTACAACAAGCAATCCCTCCTCCCCCTTATGTCCAAATCCACCACACAACTCCCTCCTGAAATTAAAGGTTTTTAAAGGAGACTAGTGGAAATGGGACAGGGGAAATTCTCTTTACTGCTTGCACAGAAAAGCTGGATATTTTTTAAATATACTTTTCATTTTAACCCCTTTGACTCTAGGATTGGAGATACATGCAACACAGGTTACATTTAAGCAAACAGGATTTGCACATCAAGGTCATATCTTGCTAGTATGAGATATTTTAGTCTACACTTTATTCCATATATTGCCATAATGAGCATACATTATGTTTTTAGGACACCTGCTGTGATGCATGGCTAGAAAGGGTTAAACATCCTGCAAAAATAAATAACCCAGAGAAGACATGTGGGAAGATAATGCTTGTGATTTTGTGTATTTACATATGTATGAGTAGGGTGGACAATGTAAAACAGTCCCTGTCTGTTCTGTATTCTTATAATTCAGAGGTCAAAAGAACATCCTATTATGTAAATGAATTGTAAGCACCGGATATCTTGGTATTCATCTCTCTTTGAAATGTACTGTGAATGGTGGAGGAACAAGCAAATGGTCTTATGTTAACTCATATAGCTAAGTGCTAGTGATGGACCTCCTTCAAAGTCTGCTGCAGTTTCCACGGTATACATCTGATGAAGTGAGCTGTAGCTCACGAAAGCTCATGCTCAAATAAATTGGTTAGTCTCTAAGGTGCCACAAGTACTCCTTTTCTTTTTCCTGATTACCTTTTGTTCCCTGAGGAATTCCAACTTGTCAAAAGACATGAAATTGTATAAAAGATCCTTGGGTCCTGATTCTGTCATCTCAGATTTGCTTAGACTTCATCGGGGAAGTTTGAGTCACAAGACTGAGGTCCCAGTTATGCTGGTACACCGTGAATATGAGATTTCGTCATTAGACTATGACCTATGAACTGAATTCTAAAGGAACACTTTGCAACTAGGAAGCTCACCATCTCTGCTGTGAATCTGCACCTCAATGAATTGAGCTCACGTCTGTATGTATATTGATATTTTAACCATACCCTTATGTTTTTTAGAAAAATTTTGTTTAGTTAGTAAGAATTGGCTGTAGCATGTATTTGGATAAGATCTGAAACATTCATTAACCTGGGAGGTAATGAGTCCGATTCTTTGGGACTGATAGAACCTTTTCTTTTATATGATTAAAGAAGATTTACAGAAATTTTCATCATATTTGATGTGGGTACCTGGATGGAGGCCTGAGGCTGGATCACTTTAAGAGAACTGTGTTGTTTGGACTTCTGAGTAACCAGTAAGGTAATAAAGAAGCTGTTTTATGCTGGCTTGGTAAATTTAAGTACTGGAATATCCACCAGCTTTTTGGGGGGGTTGGCTGCCCCATTCTTGCAGTTCACCCTAATTGAGTGACCATAGCTGGCTCCCCACTAGGAGCCCGGTCACACCTGCGTATGAACAATGCTTTCCGTTTGCATTTCTGGGTTTGTCATGCTTCACTGGAACAGGACAAGTTGTGCAGGTACCATCACCAACGGAGATGCATACAAACCTCACTCCCTCTACACCCACCCACCTACTTCTCTCCCAGCACTACTTACCAATATAGAATGTGTTAGGGGCCTGCTTGTCACCTAGATGTAAGTACAGGATATTTGTGGTCTGCGAATCATGACGGAGCCAGAGTGCCACACCAAGAATGATTCCTCCTGCGAGCTGGGTAGAAACCAGAGAGAAGGGGACACAATTAGCAACACTCATTCCATCACATGTCCCATCATACAGTCTATTTACATAGAAGACAAGTCCTTCCAGAGGCCTTACCCAACATGCAGGGCACTGGCAAATCATATAAGGAGACATCTCGCTTTCTACTAAGCTTGTCCAATATATGGCTCATATATACACAGAGAAACAGGATGCATCAAAACAGCTCACTCTGGGTGCCCTTTGTCCAATATATTGACCATACCCTCTCCGCCTAATGGCCTTGTCTGTTTCCAATTATGAGTTCTCCCATTGATTCTGCAGCCTCTCTGCACATAGATCTTCCCCCAGACCCCCTGAGAGTTACACATGAGGGGTTGCAGAATAAGGCCCTTCATCTCCAATAGGCTTCATTACTAGGCTATCCAGGCTGAGTTTGAAGAGCAGAGTGACAGATTTCAAGGCTGAATGACAGGTCTGTTCCAGGCACAGGAGTGGCTCCGGAATACCTATCCCAGTCCATCTCACAACTAGTAGCTGCTCAAGAGCCATGCATTTCTTTTTATGTTTGTCTAAATACTTTTCAAAACCTATGGGCTAAGTCCTGCTCTCTCTTTTGCTAGAGGTTGGAAGGAAAAAGAGAAGTGAGAGTTTCCCACCCCAGCAGCACATGGGTAGTATTTCAGTGTAATGATTCCCTGAGTGCTAGGCCAGAGAATGACAAACATGCCTTCTGGCTCTCCAAAGCCACAAAGGCCAGGATCTGTCACAATGGGGTGTCTGGCATCGTGCCCCCTAGGGAGAGTCTCTCTCTGGTGCGCTGCACAGCACGTTTCCCCAACAGTTCTGAGCCATCCCGCTCTTGATAGGAAGATTCGGGAAACTTGTTACATCACCAGCTCTGGTTCCTTCACTCTCTGCCTCGCTAACTCCCGCTCAGTGCGGCTGAAGCATCCTGCCTCTGATTACTTTGTTCCCAGTGCTGTCCTTACATTTATCCTGGATGTTAGCTCTTTGGCGTAAGAAATCCCCGACAGCACCAAGCCTCTAAGTTAGAGGTGCGTCCTATGGGTTTGGCCCCATACAATCCTCTGGAGCCCCTTCAGAATGTTGTACGCCTCTTTGTAAAAAAAGGCGTAATTTTTCCAACCTCTCAATAATTTAGCTCCTTACATTCCTGTCTGTTTAAACTGGAAAATGCACCAATCTCCGTCTCAATAAAGTTGACCAGACCAGACGTGTGCGCACTATCGCAGGTGTAATTGTTTGGACTTTTCATTTATATTTTATACAGCACCTTTCATCCTGAAGATATCCACAGTGCTTTACAACCTGTCTGTAGGGACCACTTTCCTATTAGCAACAGGCAGAGGATTCTAGGGTAAAATATTGCTAATGTGCAGTGGCTGCTGTTACAAAATTATTTTTTAGGAGGGGAAGAGAGCAACATCTGCAACTGAAGCTTTAAAGGTAGCTTTTAGACTGAGGTACCATTTAAGTTTGGTCTCATTGGAAGTGGAGGTAGTAAGTCTGAAGACACATGGTATTGCTCATCTATGACGTAGGGACAGAAACCAGGTTTGTTTTAGATATCTTTAGCTACACATCCCAGGATTCACTATTTTTAAACATTGTGCTTATAGTGAAGTTATCCTACACTGGGATGTGTTATGCTTTCACACATCACCTTTGGTTGTGTACCAGTTGTGACAGGGAGTTACGAGAACACAGTTTCTAAGGTTTGTCAATTTCTCCTTCAGACCTGCATTCTTTTCCTACTCCCAATGCACAATTGCATTTATCTAGTTTTGTGGCATCTAGAATTTGACCAAAAACACAGCCTAGCAAGTTTTCTAGAACTCCCAAAAACCACTTGCCACAGGAAAAAGGTTTGATGACAATCAGCCTTATAGAAGCATGCTTAACCGGTGCATATTGATGCTAGGTAACAACAAAAACTCCAACATCCTGCACATGCATAGCACACGTTATCAGAAGATCCATATGAACTTGGCAAAAAGCATATTCCCCCTGTAAGCATCCCTCTAGGCATTTAAGGTAGCATTTTGAAGAGTGCTTAAGTGACTTAGGCATGTCTGAAAATCCCTCTCTTCCCCCCCGCCCCCAGGCTTTTCCTGTGCATCAATCGGACTGTAGCCACACTAAACAGCAGACATTGTTTTCTTCAAGAGATTTTTGGGATATCTGATCTCCAGCAGGGATAGCCAGAGTCCTGTTTACTCCTCACCTTCCCACTCCCTTGTGGAATGTCTTTGTTAAGAACCATAGTCATTTCTCTAGCAACTAGTTTTCCAAGGTAATTTAAAAAAAAACAAACAAAAACCACATCAGGTGTTCCTTCAGCCCATTCCAAACACATAATGGTTAACAACTCCATTTCTCCACAGAGATGGCGATTACCTCAACACATACAAGAAGATCATCTTGTTCAGCAGGCAACCTGAGGACCCATAACCCATTGATGGATGTTATTCAGAGAAAAAATATATAGAGAATTCCATGAGTATCAGAAACAAAACATTTGTTAGCTTGCATCTTTAACAGATATGGCGCTTGGCTGACAGTAACTTAGGCCACCTCCCTGCTTATTCAGAAACTGTTCTAATCTAATTCGTAGTAGCATCAAAACATGACTCGGCATCAATTGTTCCTTGAGAATTTCAGTAAAATAAATATATTTATGTATTTATTTTAAAAGAATCAGCGGTAACTAACTGGACAGGGCAAGACACGGGATGACAGTCCAATGCTCACCTTCACTGAAGAAAATCTTCTGGGATGATGAAGCCACCTTGCAGGGAAGGGCAGTACGCAAATCTCCCAGTTAATTTATTATATCTGTACTACTTGTTTATTCAGGAGATCACAATAGTCAGTTTGGACAAACAAAATCAACTCAAGTTCTCTCTTTGACAGGCATTTCTTGTACTTAACTTGAGGGTTTGAACTCAATTGGAGTTGCTGGATGCTCAGCACTACTGAAGATCAGGCCATTTATTTAGGTCTTGTCTACGCCACACAGCTTTTAGTGACAAGGCTGTGTAAAGCTCTTTTTCGGCACTTTTGCCAACAAAATACTTCCAGCCCTGCAAGTGGCGTTAGCTTTGTCCAAAGCCGCATTCACATTGCCACTTGCGTCAGCAAAATTTTCATCTTTAGTGTGTGTGTGTGTGGGGGGGGAGGAAGCTTTTTTATGTACCCGTGAAAGACAAAAGTTTTGTTGACAACTTCGCAGCCTCGACAAGCTCTAAGGTGCCTAAATATAGATTTAGGAAACTAATCTGAGGGAGCTTTTTTTTTTTTTTTTTAAAAAACCATTAAATCTCCAGTGCTTCTATGGATACCACCACAAGTGCGTACTAAGAGGAACATAAGAACTGCCATAGTGGGTCAGACCAAAGATCCAGCTAGCCCAGTATCCTGTCTTCCAACAGAGGCCAGTGCCAGGTGCCCCTGAGGGAAATGAACAGAACAGGTAATCATCAAGTGATCCATCCCCTGTCACCCATTCCCAGTTTCTGGTAAACAGAGGCTAGATAGGGACACCATCCCTGGAACAGCACAACTAGCTGATTAGGCAGAAAGGGCTGCCCTACCTAAAAAGGCCTACTATACAGCAGCAGAGTAGAGGGACTAGAGCATGCATATGTATGCACACACACACAAGTTCCAGCTATGAAATCTTTATTAGCAGCCAACAGGCGGAGTTACTTTCCTGTACGCACAATAATGCACTCAGTCCTGTCACACTCTCACCAAGGGTTTCTGTTTGGTCTCTGAGGATGAACTATGAAATGCTCTGGATTAAAAGTTGAACCTAGGAGTGGACTGCAAAGCTAGACTCGCTGTATTGGGTTTAAAGGTGTAACAAACACATGCCTCCATAAAATAAACAGGCACATGATTGCATTAGAATTGAGGTACCATTTGTAGTCACTTTGTGCTAACAGGGAAGATGTGCCAGTCCTAATGCCACTATAGCACTGACAATTCTCTGAACAAAACCTTCTTGGATAAGAGTATTATTGGGGGTAAGAGGAATAATAAACAAACAAAAAAAAAAAACAACATTCTTCCTTGAAAAGGTGGCGGCTAAGACTGAAATACAGTAGAATTGAAATACTCATACCGCAAAACTGGGGGATTACTTAAATGACTCCTTTTCAAACTCTCTTTTTGGGAGTGACTTATTCAAGCTAAATGTTTCCTAGTAGAACTTTTCTCTGACCCATTTGACACAGTCATACCCATTCTACTGTAACAAATAGAATCTTATTTAAATAAGACATTGGTTTCTGAAGTAAGAAAATCTAATATATTTAAAGGGAGATTTCCAAGGCACTTTCACTGGTGAGGCCTACTCAAACTCCATTTTATCTTAAAGGTCATAGCCTTCGTACCAACTTGTTTTAAAGGATACATGTGAAAGGAGGATGACTTCTTTTTTTAAAAAAGACAGTAGCTCTTAAAAAGAGGGCTGATTTTTGACAGGATCCCTAAATTAGTCATAAGTACATGAGGGATTGACTACAGGTTATATGACAGTCCCATAAAGAGATTCTTTAGTAATAGTTCAGAAGACTGTAGTTATACATTTGCAGGCAGAGTCTAATGCTTGGGACCATTGCATAAGCAAATGTCAGCTGGGCTTTTTCAAGTTATTCAGCACTGGCCTAATTTGGCTCCCACTGAAATCAATAGGCGTTTTACCATTCACTTCAGTGGGAAAGTTAGACCAACATGGAGTCATTTTGAAAAGCTCAGCCATTATGGTTCTTAAGGAACTAGCCACTTATTCTTAGACTCAAACATATAGGGAGAGTGTATAGCACAAGACTACTCTAGACTAAAGAAAGCTTGACTTGTCCACTTACTGGTACCAGCATCCCCAGTAGTGTCAATTGTCCTTGCTGCCTCTCCAGTTCTCTTTGCCTGGTCCCTTAATCACTTGCTTCTCCCCAGCTCCTTTAACAACTGCAGAATTTATG